TAGCCTAGCAATCGTGAGCAGTCGCTCGTTTTCGCTCGTTTCCTCTCTTTTGACCCAATGGATTAAAAGGAGAGGAAACGAGCGAAAACGAGCGACTGCTCACGATTGCTAGGCTAGCGGAGTATCGGCTGAACGCACCCAATGTTGATTCGGAATTTTCGGTGAAAAGCGCGAATATGAGCATCTCGTTCGACGATAGAGTTTGTTTTTTTGTAGCTAAACTCTCTGCACTTTTATTTTCTTCTCTCTTTTTCTATACATACTCATTTTACGTTAAAAAGATATATAAAAAGTTTGTAAGTGCAAAAAGTGCGGCAAAAAAACTTTCTCTTTCCGAGATAGTACATTTTACATTTCCAAGGTGGATGTAGCATGTTTAGATATTCTAATTTTATACAACTAATGCCTGTTTAAAGCCCGGTGTCCACGATGCAAGAACTTGGTCGAAGTTTTGGTTTAAGCCAATGAAACTGCTACTTTTCTGTAAGAGCTGCAAGTTGATTGGCTTAAATCGAAACTTGGACACAGTTCTTGCATCGTGGACACCGGGCTTTAGATATGATGATGATTTTTTAGAGAGGGATAATGAGACGACGATGACTATTGGTTAAAAATCAAAACTTTTGATTAATTTAATATTTTATAATTCGTTATTTATTTGAAACATCAAATTTAATTCATTACTCCTTATATCGATATATAATAAATAACTACATACAATTATAAATAATATAGGTACGTATATCTACTATATTGCGTAATGGGCAATTATGTAAAAATATTTACACAATGATATGTACTTTCGATTATAACAAAGATAAATTTTATTCTTTAATAAACTAGAATTTATTATAAGCTCTTTTAAGAGGAATAACCGCATTCAGGAAATTTTTTTTTAAGAAAAAAAAAATAAATTGCGTGTAACAGGTCGAACTTTTTATTAGGAATGTATAAATGTCACGAGGATTTCGTGTATTTTTTTTTGCAATATCTAGGAAATCTACAAAAAACCGAGATATCGGGGAATGAATGAAATAAATTATTACAATAAATATAAATTTATATAAATATATTTGTATTTATATAACATATATAATATATTTATAAATATAAATTAATAAAAATTTTAATTCACAATTTCACTGACAGAACCTTTTAGGATTTTGCAGAATAGGTATTAAGTAAGATTGTTTAATTTGTATTCACTCCACATTATTCTGATTTTTTGTGGATTCTCCAAAAATTTTGTGAGAAAAAAAAGAAGAAAAAAAAACCGAGTTACACGAAATATCCCTGCGTATATAAATTGACAAATTCAAAAATTAATACGTTAAGAACAGAAATGAAATTATTAAGGAGTTTGTGCAATACTGTCTTTCAGATACATTCACTATGAACAAATTGAGATACGGTTACCGTATCTGAAGGACGGTATTGCAAAAACTCCCCTATTCAGATCACGTTAGATGCGAAAGGAATGCGGAAAAACACGCGACAGAGTCGCGTTCCTCCAATCATATCAATTGAAAAACAACAGCGAGTTCGGGTCAACGGAGTTCGGAAAACGTTAAGGTCTTTCTACATAGAAGTTGTAAGTCGTAAGAATTGGCCAATCACAGCTCATTATTCTTCGACCGCAAGGAGAATAATGGACTGTGATTGGTATTGGTCAATTCTTACGATTTACGATTTACGATGTAGAAAGTAGAAAGACCTTTAGGTATTTCGTGGTATTTCGGTCGCGCGCTCGTTTGTTTTGAACGCGTCGTGCCGCGTACGATCGCGCCGGAAGGACAAGGACAAGGTTGCCGTTTCTTCATTCGCTCAACGACGCTCGAGCCGGCAGTACCTAGTGTTGAGTAGTGTGTAGTGTCGCGTATTTGTCGTTCCGCATTATAATTGGTCGCGATCGTATTATTACAGTTAAGTACTTCGTACTCGATCGCGAAATATTGGACAGCGGTTCCGTGAGTGTCCTGTGCGGAAGGAGAAGGCCTGACTACTCAGACGGTCTGAGAGGAGGAGGAGGCCTGGTAAAGGCATCGGGCCCCGGCGGAGCAACCTTGGGGTAAGTGTTATTTCTTATTTTAAAAATTAATAGTTCTTTTCCATTTATTCGGGCCTATTTATCTCCGATAAGTAAGAATTAATTTGAGAAACCGAAATTTTGTCTAAAATTTTATAAAAGTTTATTCTCATAAAGGTTTTTTTCGTAAAGCTTTTTTCCGGGAAATAAGTAAATTATATTAGTAAATCTAATGAAAAGACGAATTAGACGTGTGTAAAATTTATTTTTTGAAACATTGGTCATTTTGAGCGTCTATTTAATTTGAATCTTTCATTTTTGTGTTACAGATTCATCGGAGTTACATGGCTGCCTAACTCTGCCCGTTGCGCATCGGTCGGTGAGTGACTTTTTTTATAATGGGGTGATGGATCTGTGTGAAAGACGTAGGATCCAAAAGGAACGATAATTAAAATATTAAAATTAATATCTGTTATATTAAAATGCATAATATAGTCTAAGATGATATATATTTTATGTCGTATTAATCATAATTTTAATTATCGTTCTTTTTGGATCTCACGTCATTCATTCTGTATATCTCACTTGATATCTGAGGTGAGATCAAATAATGTTTGCGATTTATTTCGCCGTTCGGTTCGTGGTTCGCGGTTCGCGATTCGGATTGCACTAATTTTTTTCCATCATTGATTTATTTATTGACTTATTCATCGATTGATTTTTTAATTTCGGTTGTTTCGTGTACATTATGCTATTTAAATTCAGATATTCGCGATCGAGATATAATCTTGACGATTTCGATTAAAACGCGGTTAATATATTCTTTGCATTTTTTGATATAACTCTTTCTTGCTTTTTATAATTTCGATACATTTCTTAATCGAAAAAGTTAATTACGCGCATTGTCGAAAAATTAAATGCAAAATTAAGTTAAATTTAAATTAAATTAATATTTTATTAATGAACGTGATTATTTATCTTTTTCTTATACACTGAAAAAAAATACTTAGATCCAAGAAAATATTTTTTCACATAGTACCAATGGCTTATTTACTTAATATAATCACATATTTATTTAGAATTAGATATCTTTACTTAAATTAAGTAAAAATAATATACATAAATTAAGTAAAAATAATAATTTACTTAAATTAAGTAAAAATATCTAATTCTAAATAAATATATGATTATATTAAGTAAATAAGCCATTGGTACTCTGTGAAAAAATATTTTCTTGGATCCAAGTATTTTTTTTAGTGTATAAGCAACGCGCTTTCGTTAACGTAATAATTCGTAATCGATAATTCGTAACCGTACCGTTATAATCTACCGGCACTGATAATCAGCCGGTATCGAAGGA